TTAAATAATAAATTAACATTCTCATTCTTCTATCTTTAAGAGTAGTTAAACCAAGAATTTTGAGTCTTGACTCATAATTAAGTTTACACAAAGACACTGGATTTTCGACTTTGAATTCTTTCATGTTTTTAAAATGTTTTTATGCTATAGGGATTTCATGCCAGAGAAAATGTCTCACAATGAGGTCTTACAAATGATGTGTAAAATATCTTGAATGATTTAACAATCCAATAAATGAAAGTTCGTTAAAGCATTACAAGAATAGAGTTAATTTTTGACGCGGCTTTTTTGGTATTAGAATTCCCATTTTAAGTTGTTTGTAATTATAATATCAAGATTACGCTCGGATACAGTTTCCTGTAAGTTTTTTTTTTTTTTCCTAATATGTATATTTTTGCAATTATTATTATTTAAATTTTATATATATTTCATATGCCAGTCATTAGTCCATTTTGCAGCTGCATCTAAAAGAAAAAAAACTAAGTAAAAATTTTTTGATAAAATTAATTAGACTTTTGATAAATTTGATCTGATTAAGTATAAGAATGCAAATAAAAACACAAAGTTATTATTTTATAATGTAATTTCTCAAAATATATGAATATATTAATAAAATTGCTTGCATGAAAAAGAAATATTATCTAAAACAAAAAACACAATAGGAAGTAAAACACAATATAGTTGAAAAAATATATATTGAACACAAAGTCTCATGCTTGTCAAATATTTTAATAAAATGCCAAATCTACTTGCATAAAAATGCAATTTTCCTTTTAAATCAAAAACATGATAGGAATTAAATATATTTTAAAAAAATATCAATAAAAAAAAAATGCATATGCAAAGTTTCATGTTAGTCAAAAAGTTTAGCAAACATCATTTAATGTGCAGTCTTCGTATACCGAAAGAGTACATACACAAAAAGCTATCCAGTCAATTTGGGTACCACTATTTCCCTTAAGAAACTGGACAAAAAAATTCCTCTTCATTGTTTACATCTTTTTCAATCAAGCATTTCTTTAATTTTCTTTTCTTTTTGTTCTTTTTTATATTTTTTTTTTCTTTAATTTATTGTCATTGTTTTTTTCCAGTAAATTTTGTTCTAATTGTTTTTTTTTTTTCCTATTGTTTTTTTCTCATTGTTCTTTTCAAGTAAACTTTTTTTCCTATATGGAGAACTAGTTATAATCTGAGGTTTTTCAGCTAATTTTCTTTTTGAAGGATAAAGTTTTAGAATTTGAAGTATGTCTTCAAAAGAGCTTGTTGAAGTAACAGTGGTCTCAGAAAAGTTTTAAAATTGGCTTTAATTTATCATGACTCATTAATTCTAATGTAGTCAACTCTGGCTGCTGTAAAATTTAACTTTCTTTTTTGTTATCGCGTTCAAAGTGAATTTCATGAGGTATGGATAACCTGATTTTATTATTATTATCACTGAATTATGTCCTTGGATATTCATTTTCAAGCAATTCCGATTAAATGGGACAATTCTAGTTGCTCTAAAACTTGAAGTAGCGTTTTCCATATTACCAGCTCTTAAATGTGTTTCATTAAAAATTTCTCCAAGATTTTTTGTTTGTATTCGTCTTCCTTAATGATTTTGTATCCATCTCATACATGCTTGATTAAAAAAGGTTTTCAAAGGCTTAAAAAAATCCACGGTCTAATGATTGAAGTTTATGAGTTGTGTGTGGTGGTAGTGATAGCAAAAACAATCCATTGTCACGAGCATCCTTGAATAGTTCCAACCAGAGCATTATCTGTGATTCATAATTTCTTTTTTATTTTTGCGCTTAAATCATCATGGGTGGTACATAACAACCAATAGAATTACATACATATAAAATTGTTGTTGTGACTTCTTTTTCCCCACTTGTCACTAATGAAAAACACCGTATTCCTGTAGATAAGATAACTTTTAATGGCTTATGGACGCATGACAACCCAGACTCATCACAATTAAAAATTTGATGTGGCTCAAAGGGATACTTAACTAACAAATTCTCTAAATTACTAAAATATATTTTAATATTATCTTTGTTCAAACCAAGTACTTTGTTTATAAAAATTGCTTCTGGCTTTCTTAGTGATAAATTTGGATGGCGTTTAAAAAAGCCTCGCACAAAGTCTTCTCCCGTAATTTACTATCTTTGTTGAAAGAATTTGGAATTAAAATTTTCTTGCAGAACTCAAACTCTATCAATCTAATATCCATCATTCAGAGATCATAAAATGAATTGTCTATATCTTTAATATACTTATTTACATCTTGTTCTTGGTTATCAGAAAGCACTTTTCTAAATCTTCCAAGTAAACTAGTATGTAAACTACTTTCAAGTAAAGCCTTTTTAACACGCCAATGTAGTAAATCTTTTGGCGCACTAAAGTTTTTACAAGCTTTTCTTAAAGATATCTGCTTCAACTTTACTGCTGTAATAGCAGGGCCGTTCCAAAGAGATTTTAAAAGGGAAGGGGAGTGACGTGTTTATTTTTTGCTGACTAAAGCCTAAATATTTTTTTTTGCCCACTATTTAAAAAAAAAAAAAGTCCTCGTTTTCCGACATTAGCCAACCATAAATCCCACACTGCCAACTATAAATACGGTTTTGCCGACTCTAGTATTCAATTTACCAACTAATAAAATTCGTTGGAGGGCTATACACCCTCTAACCTTCCCCACCCTCCGCCCGGGACGGCCCTAACCTTAACGCATTTTTATGTCATCTTTGTTCCTGTTAGCTTAACTAGTTTTTTCTCTTGTAGTTTTTCATTTAAAAAGTTTTGGTAACTAAATGACAACAAAGTTATGTTATATTCTTTTAAAGTTTCTTACAAAATTATGTTTTACTTTTACATAAAATTCTTTCATAAAGTGGTGATAGCAATTTTATAAATTTGCTATCGTAAACGTTTACTTTGACGAACTTTTTTAGTAACTAGCGTTGTCGTACTTTGCCCGTAAATGTGAAGTTATATATTTCTCAAATATCTTTGAAATAAAATAATCTGACATAAAAAGAAGAAAAATAACAAATAAATGATTATAAACTCAATATTTTGTTTGTTCCAAGGTAAAAAATGAGTTCAGTATGTATTTTAATAAGTTATTTGTATTTTTACTTTTACTCTCGGAATTGCCCGTAACATATATATATATATATATATATATATATATATATACATATAGAATATGTATATATACACTTCATTTCTTACTGTAATATATATGTTGCATTGAAATATTTTCTGATATCATGCTTACAATATAGTTAATATGAAAATTCTAAGACCATTATTCATCTAAGATTACTCTTAGATGAAAAATGTGGTTTATTCATTATTGAAGATATATCAAGATTGGGTAATTTAAGAAAAAAAACTAATGGCTTTACTTGGATTATGAAATAGGATAAATTCAGTGAAAGTCGGATACTTATAAACCACAATATGAGATTTACTGAGTCGATGGCTCAATAAAAAAAAAAAAAACAATTTTAAAGCATGTTTTTGATTTGTGACTAATTTTGGATTAATAAATAGAGATCAGTGCTTGACATATTTAGGTGCGATATGTTTGTGAAATA